GGGACGGCTTGGATGCCCTCTACAAGCTGCTCACTGCAAGCGACGTGTGTGTCGCCTACCGAGGCATCATCCCCGTCAACAGGGACGCCAGCAGCCCGGAGCTCCGCAACCTGGTCAGAATCCTCACAGACGTCAGGGTCAATGTCACCGTTGTCTTTGCCAACAGAGGAAGCGCCCGCCCTTTCTTTGAGGTGGTGGTGCAGAGGAACATCACCGGCATGGTGTGGGTGGGCTCTGAAGACTGGTCATTAGACCAAACCATCTGGCAGGTGCCAGGCATCCAGAGTATCGGCTCAGTGATCGGCATGTCGGTTGAGAAGACAGCATCCACAATGCTGGAACGCTTTGAGTCTTGGAAGACAGCAGAGGAAAGCACTGCACCTGAACGTGCCGGCAGCACAGAGGCAGGTGGGGGGACTGGAGGCGGCGCACAGCTGCGCTGCACCCAGCGCTGCACTGGCTGCCGCTTGCTTGCCGCTGCCCCTGACATGTATGACGCTCAAGCCTCCTTCAACGTGTACTCAGCTGTGTACGCTGTGGCCCACGGCCTCCACGACCTGCTGGGCTGCGGCTCGGGGGCGTGCAGCAAAGGCACAGTCTATCCCTGGCAGGTAAGAGCAATGTGAGGAAGGATTTTCCTCGTAGATCCATGAGGATCCTTCCACACGGGGAAGATTTTCCCCTTGTGCCCAGGGGTTTTTTTGTCCCTCCGGAAGGCTTGTGTCCCAGCTGAAGAGCCTCGTGGGCTCCAGCTGTCCGTCGCAGTCGAAGCAGCCTGGACCCAGACCCAGACCCCCACCCCAGACCACTTCTGTTCCTCCACACCAGCCCCTCGTTGAAACCTGGAAGGGACTTTCTGCAGCTGGGCACAGGCCAGCTGTTGGGGGTTAGAAAGAGGAGCTGGAGCAGAGAAGGGGCCCTCTAGCACATCTCCCTTTGAGACAAGGCACTCGTCAGCAATTGTCTTTGGGAAAGGCTCTTTTCTCGCTCTTCTGTTTTACAGCTCCTACAAAAAATCAAGCAAGTAAACTTCTCCCTGTACAAGAGCCACATCTCTTTTGATGCCAGTGGGGACATCCGTAAAGGCTATGACATCGTCATGTGGAACTGGAGCGGCCTGAGCTGGGCTTTTGATGTGATAGGAACCTTCAGCGTGAACCCTGACAGGCTGAGTGTTGACCAGGGCAAAATCCTGTGGCACACAAAAGATCGCCAGGTACTGTTCCGCATCCAGATCTTAGTTGTTGCTTACTGCCGAGCCAGCTACATCCCCAACACCATCAGCTCTGGGCTATTTCCCCATATATGAGGGTAGACGGCAGCAGTATGGGGAGACGAACCATGCTCTGAGCATCAGCTTTCATCCTTCCAAAAAACAAGCAGGGCACATGAACCAAAAAGGCTCCTACTTTTACTTTTAAATGGTGTCACTTTCCCACCACCTCTCTAAAAACCGCAACGCTGTGAGGTCTTGGCTCCTGCCCAGGGTCTGTCCTGAAAGCCAGCAGCAAGCTGCCCAAATGCTGCCAGGCCTGGGCCCGGCGCTCAGTGAGGTGTCCTGCTGCCCACCCCGCTTGTCTGCCTGACTCTCGCCGTGCTCCCAACAGGCTCCCACCTCTGTGTGCTCTGAGGCCTGTCAACCCGGGGAGAAGCGGCTGCAGCGGAGCCACCACCGATGCTGCTTCAGCTGTGTGGCCTGTCCATCAGGAACCTTCCTGAACAGATCAGGTCAGTATGCCCCAGGGGGCTGCTCCCTCCTGCCTGGCTCCCCTGCCCACACCCTGCCTCCTCCTCTGGTCAGCTCCTTGCTTCTCTCTCGCTGTTCCCCCAGCCTCTTCCCTCCCGCTCTCTCCTCCTTCCTGCATTCAGTAAAAACCTCTGAGCTGACCCAAACATGGTCGCTCCGAGTCCCGTTTGCTTACCCATGGGTATGCAAAGCTCAGGCCCGGCGCTTTCAGGGAGTGCTGCCCACAGGTGGGCCCATGCAGGCAAACAGCCAGCAGAGACGCTGCTGGCAGAGCCCCTTCTCCCGCAGCCAGGGGACAAGGGATGTCCGGCCAGACAGCTGTTTCCTGCACCACATCCTCTGGGAGGGAAATTCAACCCGGTGGCTGCCTTTGTGCTGCAGGTGGCACTCAGGGCTTCCACAGTATGCGGTCACTAGCAGCTGCCGTATGGAAATATCCCGTGCCTGGGACGGGTGGCAGGAATCTCCTGTCTCAGAATCATTGGCCACAGGAGAAGCCCCTCGCTGGCAGCTGGTCTCACTCGGCAGCCTCAGCCACGCTTCGGCTGAGAGTGGGGGGAAAGGGCCAGCTCTGGGTAACAGCGGGAGCAGGGAGCCCCCAGACACAGCCGGTCAGTGTTGCTGTCCCATACCCTGCCTGCAGGAGGGGGGCTGCTGCAGACCCATCCCAGCTTCACAGGTTAATGCTGGATGCACACCCCCTTCCTGCCCATGTGCCCGTGAGCCTCGGCTCACCCTCCGAGCTCCTGTGGGCCTCATGCCTCTCAACTCGAGCACTGGACTCTTGGGGAAAGAGCCCTCTCTGCTACTCGAGGCTCAGAAGCACTCAAGGTGAAGGAGCAGGACGCGAGGAGGGGGCAGCTCTCGCAGAGAGCCTGGGGGGCAGCAAGGGCAGGGTGCTCTGCCACGGCAGGTGTCTTACCGGGGTCCGTGGTGTACGAAGTGCCTCTGTCACCGCCTGGGCTTGTGTCCTCTGCAGACCCCTATGGTTGCCAGCCCTGCAGGGTAGACGAGTGGGCCCCGGCAAGGAGCGAAGCTTGCTTCAACCGCACCGTCGAGTTTCTGTCATGGTCTGAGCCTCTCTCCTGGGCACTGCTGACCCCCACTGTCCTCCTCATGCTGCTCATGGCAGGGCTGGCTGTCCTCTTCGCCCTGAACGCATCCACACCAGTGGTCAAGTCTGCAGGCGGGAAGATGTGCTTCCTCATGCTGGGCTCTCTGGCCTGCG